GAAAAAAAGATGGGCAGTCTCCACCCGTATGATTTACTGCCTACCTCTGAAAGCCTACTGGAAGATCAGCTGTGATAAGTTGAGACTCGACAGCACATAACAACACAGTAACATGCCAAATAGAAAAATTTCTACAAACTTCTGAAATGTGTACTCTCTGAGTAATCAAAGTTAATACTTCCTGCATCAACAAATACATTTAAAAGATGTTTACTATCAGCTATGCATAATTGAAGAGCAGCATCAAGAATACAAAGATTTTTCACCACTGGGCCAATTGGCAGCATCATGATAAGATGGTGAAGAGATTGAGATTGTTAGCAGGTTCAATTTGCTTGGCTCCACATTCAACACTCTTGGTACCACAAGCCAGGAAATCAAAAGATGAATTGCTTTGGGGAAAATCTGTTTTCAGGGACCTCTTCTGAGTGCTGAAGAGCAGTGATGTCAGTCTAGAGACTAAGATCCGCCTGACCCAGGCCATTTTCTTTGCAGTTACTTGCTATATAACAGAGCGCTGGACAATGACTAAGGATGATAGAAAAAGACTTGATGTCTTTGAGTTGTGGTGCCGGAGAAAAGTATCGAATATACTGTAGACTGCTAACAGAACAAAGAGGTCTGTCCTGGAGAAGGTGAAACCAGGCTGCTCCTTGGAGGCAAGGATTCTGAAGCTCCATCTGACATACTTTGGGCATACTTGGAAGGGTGGATCAACAATGCAAGAGAAAAAAACCCTGGATATGAGATGGATTTGACTCAGTGACTGGGATAATGGAGGTAGATATGTCAGAGATAATGAAATTGGCTCAAGATAGAGCAGGATTCAGAGCTGTTGTACATGAGGTTGCAGTGAGTCTGAGTCAGAGTCAACTCCACGGCACACAATAACATGCATAAGACAAGAAACCCAGATGGCCTAGAATTTAAACATCTAGCAGCTAACCAAAAAGAGCGTTTCACACCAGCGTTTCAAAGATGTGTCAGTCTGCTTCTGTGCAGATTTATAGGCATAGAAACCCTGTGGGCAGTTCTGTTCTGGCCTTTAGAGTGACTCAGCTGAAACACCGCTCCTTACCACTAGGCCACCAGAACTCCCATTTGGAAAGGTAGTGATTGAAAAAAAAGACAGTTGGAAAAATTTTATAAAAAAAGAATAAGAGGCAGTTGAGGGTTGAGAAGAGAGAATAGAAATGCAAGATGTTACATAGGCGCACAAGAAGGATACCTTTGATTGCTGTACCTATCGATTGGAGAGCCTCTCAGGCCCACAAGCTCAAGCTTATCACTGTAGAGTTGGTACTGACTCATAGCTGATCCTCCGTGGGATAGCCAAGGCTGTAAAATTGAATGTGGGAGATCTTCCTTCTGTGGGGCTGCTGGTGGATCTGATCAGAGGGGTGCAGCCTTTGAATTAGCAGAGCAATTATTAAAGTCTTTGTTGTGTTCTGTCATGGAGTTATCAGGAGGGGGGCTAAAGCTGCTGAATAATCTTTGTGAGAGGGAGAGAGTTAGAAAACAGTTGATGAATTTACCAAGATCTTTGGACCCCTCTTAGGGTTGTTGTGCTCAGACTCTATAAGGGTTGGCAAAGCTGTTCCTGTTTTAAGAATCCACACATCCTCTGTCTATCACTGTGTCCACATTTGGACATTAATCTCCTGGATTACTACTGAATCAACTGATTTAGGACACTTCAGGCCTTGGAATTCTTTAATCAGTTATCCATTGAATTTTTAGCCAAGGTCTGTTTTAAGATTTTTTTAATAATTTTTATCCTTTTTATTCATTCACTAAGTCTTAAGGTGCCTGGGTGGCATAGTCCATAATGTATTGGACTGCAAACTGAAAGGCTGATGATTCAGGTAAACCAGCTGCTCCTTTGGAGAAAGATGAACAGTCTCTCAAAAGGATATACAGTCTCAGAAACCCAGTGGAGAATTGGTAAGAGTTTAGATCGACTTGACATCAAGTTTTCTCATAAGGCTTTTGCTTATGGATTTGTGTTCTTGACTGAATGTCTCTCAGATTTGTCACAGATTGTTGTTGTTAAGGGCTGTCGAGTCGTAGACAACTCATAGCGACCTTATGAACGAAAGATCTGAACACTTATATAACTTCCATCTTTTCTCTAAGCTCATAGGGTTTCCAGAAGCATGCTATTTCGGAAGTGGATACAACTCCTGCTTCCAAGCTTGTTTTAATCAGGGAGCTCCACCAAATATCCACCATGGATAGCCATCCTCATATTTGACACATCAGTGTCACCATGTTCAGCTTTACAACAACCACGAGTTACCTCTTTAGAGCAAGTGGACAGACCAGGACTATACGATCTAGAAGAATGTTTGACATAAAACAATTAAAAATAGGACTGAAGGCCACGGAGTAGAGTACCCCACCCTTGGCTTGGTAGCATCACTTTCTGTCCACTAGGCCAACTTATCTCTTTATGCTGCTGTTGTTAAGTGCCGTCGAGTCATAGACGACTCATAGCGACCCTATGAACGAAAGACCTGAACACTTGTATAACTTCCATCTTTCTCCATGTTCATAGGGTTTCATAGGACCCTGGAATCATAGATTATTACCCTCTCCAGAAATTCTACGACGTTTAGAAAGGACCATTATACCTCAAAAGGAGCTCTGGTGGCATAGTGCCTAAAGTGTCAGGCTGCTAACTAAAGGTTTGGAAATTCGAATCCACCAGCCGCCACTCCTGGGGAGAAAGATGGGCCAGCTATTCCTGTAAAGATTTACAGTCTTGGAAAACTAGCCGAAAGTTCACTGTTAGTTGGATTCGTCTAGGCCGCAGTGGATTTGTGTAGCACCACCTCTGCAAAATGTTATGAAAGCATTTTCATTATCCTGCCTCCCTGTTTATAATATTGGGGGGGGTTGTTCACTACCCCGTGATATATGGTAAAGAGTAAAGGAGGTGCTTTAAGTTCGTAGAAGGAAAGTGCTATTTCAGTGGAAATTGTTAGAGGTAAAAATGAAACTGCTCCTCTGACCTCTGAAATATTTGTTGCCGTGAAGTAGGTTTGAAGATGTGTTCAAAAGAGACATTGCTGGTGTTACTTCCATTTTGCATTTCTTAACTGTGGCGGTTGTTAGCTTCCTCCTTTTAATTGTGGTCTTCTGTCTTTCCCCTCTGCCCTCAGAGATAAACAATCCAGAAATCTTCCCATAGAGACCTATTGAGCTCATGCCTTGACTTGGCTGTTGCAGCAGGCTCACGCTAATCAGAATCACAGCAGGGCTTGTTTTATGAGCCTGAAAGAATTAGTGTTCCCGAAGGGCTGAAGTTCCTTACCTGCTGGGGAGCTGCAGATCTCTGGTTTGAAGCCTGCCCTCCTTGAGGATCAAACTCCCTTCCTTTCCCCTTCTCACAGGAAAACTACCTTTGCCTTTTTTCTTACAGTCTTTTTTTTTTTTAAGAGTAGAGCAGTAATGATGGTAATAGATTTTTATATGGAAATGGTGTGATCATATGACTTTATAATCTATCCTGGGGAGACCGAGAACAGAGTGAAAAATAGCAGGTGGCATCCCACAAACCAAATTGTCTAATGTGAATTTTCCAAGCAATGTCATATGCTTAGACTTACAGAAGCACCTGGTTTATGGAGCCAGCAGGCTACATGAGTGTGGAGGGGAATGACTTTGCTCTGCCAGCATGGTGGGGTTCAGTAACTGTGGAAGTTAGAAGTCACAAGGTGAGATGTGCAACTCATGTAATAAAAAGGTGTCTCGTTTTGCTAAGTATCTTAGCAAGTTGGTAGTGACTGTGACATTTTCTTGTGGTCTTGTGGTAAGAACTTGTGCTGTCAGCCTAAAGGCACATGGTTCAAATCCACCAGCTGCTCCTGAGAAAGATAGGCAGTCTCCTCCCATGTGATGTTTACAACCTCTGAAGACCCGCTGGAGGGCCAGCTGTGAATCACTTCTGACTCAGCAGGGTATAGCAACAACAACATATCACTTCAAACCTAGCCCACCAGTGGTGGGTATGATTATTCTAGCAGATGAAGAGCTGTTCATTGAGAAGCACAACAGAAATGATTTGTGTTAAAGAAGACAGAAATGTGGCTACCTTGTAGTGAAAATTTATATATGTGCTTAGTACTTCTCTTTCACTTTAAAAGCAACTTTTAGTTACTTTTAAAGCTTACAGGGAGAAAAGCATTAAAATCTCCATTTATAGAAGAGGAAACAGAGGCTCAGAGAGGTTATGGGATAGGTCCCACTTGCTCTAGTAGTAAATTGAGCCGGGTAGACATCTGGTGCAGTGAGTTCAGTCTCTCCTCAGCTTTCTCTGAAGCTCCCTTCTGTGGTGCTTTGCATTATTCTAATGGAAGACTGTTAGAACTTCTCCATAGATGATAGTGCAAAAGGCAAACTGAGGCCCTAATTGTATAATGTCCTTGGCATTGCTGTTGGTTTTGTGACCTCTAGGACTTTGCCCTTATGTCAAGTGGGTGTTTGGAGTGTTGTAGACCCTTGGGTGCTGTGGGTAGAAATCAACTCCTTGGCCGAGTGTTTTGGAGACCCTTACGGTTAGTATTCTCTGAAGCTTGTAAGTGATGATGAAAAGGTTTGGTGATCTTTTTTAGATGCAAATTAAACTATCACTGAAGACTTGATGTTGTGGATTGAGTCCTACTCCAGTATCCCCACCTCACAATGGCTTTGTCCTTTGCCGTTTCTGAGTACACAGGGCCTGTAGTGAAGTGATAAAACTTTGTTGTTAAAAAAGAAAAAAAACTCAAAAACACTAAAGTAACTTACAGGTGATTTTAGTGGTATATTTATAGAATCATTAAGGATTTGAAAAATAGCCTCTCAAAGCTTTACTGCATTTTGTGGGAGAATTGTTCGGCTATGGTGTCTTTTAGTTGTTGAGATTTCATAGAGATATTGAGAGTATCTGCTGGCTGTGCCCTCTGGGGTTTTAATAGCTCTAAAATCCTGTTTCTATTTTTCTCTTTCAGCCCAACAGGGGCACAAAACGTCCTCGGGATGATGAAGAGGAAGAACTGAAAATGCGTCGGAAACAAACTGGCACTCGAGAACGTGGCCGCTATCGGGAAGAGGAAATGACTGTGGTAGAGGAAGCAGATGATGACAAAAAAAGGCTGCTTCAGATTATTGACAGAGAAGGGGAGGAGGAAGAGGAAGAGGTAATGGATGTGGCAGAGATGGTGCGGGAGCAGGGATGACTGGGCTGACAGCGGCTGTAGAATGCCATCTTGGGCCAAATGTGCAGCATCTCTGAGCTTTCCAGCTTTGTCTGTAAGATTGAGTTAAGTAAGAATCCTTATTTGTCAATGTTGCTATGATGGCTAAGTGGGATAATAGAGTTGAGAAAGTGTTTTGCAAAGTGTAAAGAACATTACAGCTGGAATTTTGAAGTGATTCTGGAGTATGTACTTTAATCAAGGCCCAAACACTAAAGGATGGGAACAGAGAAGAAGGGGCTAGCACTGCTGCCGGGGGAGGGCCAGGGAAAGCGGGCTGTGTCGTAACTCTGGCACATAGAAGGTGGTTAGGTTTTTGAACTAGTGAATTCTCATTTAAACTAGAAGAGAATTATAGTTTATCAGTCAAATAAATAGAAGAAAGGAGGTTTGGGACAGAAGAAAAGACGTTCGCAAAGTACCAAAGTTAGAGAAATTAATGAGGAAATTGGGAAGTTCATATTTAGGTGTGACTGAAAAAATAGAGGAGGAGATGCCTTGGAACTTTTGCACATATTCCTGCTTCTGGCCCTTTTTTCATCAGTGCCCTCTTCTGGGACGCCCTTGATGATTGATTGCTTCTCACGGAGGCCTTCGCTTAGATGTTACCTCCTCAGAGAAGTCTTCTTCATCCATGAAGTGGCCTCATTTGCCATTCTCTTACCACATTATTCTATAGACTCCCTAAAATTTTGCTGATTTGTGTGTGCTCCTGATGTGTCCATAAAATGTAAATTTCTTGGAAATATTGATGGACAGGCTCTGAACATTAACAGCAGTATTTCTAGCACTTAAAATGGTGCATAGTTAATAGTTGTTTTTTGTATCATTGAGTCAGAACTGACTGATAGCTTGACCCTCTGGGGGTTTTCAGTGTCAGTTAAATGCACGAGAGGAGATTGGACATCCTTCTTCAGCAGAGCAGCTGGTGGGTTTGAACTGAGTGCCTTCTAGATTGCAGTGCAGCTTCTTACCACTAGGCCATGAGAGCTTCCAGTTAATGGTAGATGCTTAATAAATATTTGTTCAGTGGATAAATGGATAAAAACAGAAAAGATGAGGAGTAAAATACCAGTGATTAAAAATAAGATGACCTTACCTTTTTGTCTTTTTAAATCTCCGAGTGTTAACTCATGTGTTATTTCACTCTGGCATTTTGCTCAATATGAATTATGGAAATGGATTCTTAAGAACCAGCTGTTTTTTGGTTCCTTTAAAGACATGCTGCTAAGTTTGGATTTAAATGCTGGTGTGTGAATCCGAAAAAGAGGGGGGAAAAAATAGATTCCTATTCCAAAAGGTCTTTACTGTGTTATGACAATAGCTCTCTCCTCATTAGGTTTTGTACCAGAGCTAATTTGGAGGTCTGCCCTTAAAAGATGATGACACTTTGAAAATCTGTGGCGAGAGACAGTCCTGAATTTCCTTTCTAAGGGCAGCAGCCCTGCCAAGGGCTTAGACACACCGTGTGTATAGAACATTCTCTCCCTCCCTCCCTCCGCACTGATTTCTGCTCAATCTGTCAGCGCTGCAACAGTAGTTAATTGGCAGGTATAATTCCCGTGTAGAGCGAGACTGGTACTGGAAGATTAGGATAGTAGTTGTCATGGGTAAGTAGTTTCTAGCCTGGGAGACAGAAATGTCATATGGGACTAGCCCTTCTGTTAAGGAACTGGGAAAAAGAGATCGCTTTGTGAGGAATGACACGTGGAAGGAAGGCTGCATGTCCAGGAGTTATTTTCTCACAGCTACCAAAGTCCCATTTGATGAAAAACAAGTGCTGGTTGCCTCTGTAGAGTCACGTGCACTTGTAAAATATTACGATCCTTTTTGTGCTACATCACCAACTTTCATCTTTCTGAAATCTCCCTCTGGTTTTTGACGTTGAGCTATTGGAGATACTGCTGTGGCCAGTGACTAAGACTGATAATTCTGTTTCCCTTCAGTGTTGGAAAGAAATTATAGGAGGGAAAGCCAGACCCAGGAGAAGCAAGGACTTGGAAATCCCATGGGGTTGTATTAACACTAACACGGTTTCTGTAGGGTAGGCAAGATGTTCGCTAAGGGAAAGAAAAGCAGTGGCTGTGGAGATTACTAGGAAGAGATTGAACCCATTCTTAGAAATTTCGATATTCTGAATAAAGCCCAGTGGTATGTGGGAGACATTGTGCCTCTTGATAATAGCAGCACTAATTGTTTATATTTTTGTTGTTGTTAGGTGCTGTTGAGTCTAGAATGACTCTTAACGACCCTATGAATAAAAGATATCTGAACCTGTTTTATCCTGCGCCATCCTCACACTTCCTTACACACAAGAGCCCATTGCAGCAGTCACTGTGTTAGTCCACCTGGTTGAGGATCTTTCTTTCCTTCACTGACCCTCCACCCTTCCCAGCATCATTAATATAATTATATTGTTTACAAAACAATTATGTGTTCTTTAGGTCATCTCTGTGACCTTGAAAAATACCATTTTTAGCTGCTTCTTCCCCACTGTCCCCTCTGAATCTTCCTTCTGTTCTACTTGTTTTCACTGGGCGCCAACTATGTGTTGAGTACTGGAGAATCAGTAGTGATCAGGTAGACAAGGCCAGTGATACGGGTATACGTGTTAGTTATCCAGTGCTGCAGTAACAGAGATCTCACAGGTAGTTGGCTTTAACCAGCAGAAGTGAATTCCCTCACATTTAGTAGTCGTAACGTCTGCATTCCCCATCTCTAGGGGAAGGCTTTCTCTCGTCATCCTGGGGAAGGTCCTTGTCTACTTTAGCATCAGTGTGGCCAACTTTTCATACACGTGATGGCCTCCGCCTGTGTCAGGGAGCTTCCCAGGGCAGGAATCTAGCCTCACAGGTCTTACTCCACTCCTGCATTTGAATACTTACAAAATTATGGGATGATTCAATGTTTTCCAGAAGAATCCATTTTAGATTCTCATAATGTCAGTCTCTTTATTTCATTTAAGTGCGAGTTATGGCCAGTGACTAGAGGGCTGGGATTTGGGAGAATGTTCGAGAGGGGAGGCATGCATTACAGTACATTGAATTTCAACTGGAAAATAAACAGAAGATAAGACTTTTCCGAAAGTTACAGATTTTTTCAATGGGAGGGTATATAATTCCATTTTAAAAAAATTCACTTTATTCATCTTTGTAGGTATTATTAGTCTGTGGTATGAAGTAAGAAAACTGTATGGTTTTGTTTTCTTAATGTTTCCTCTTGACAGGAATACTGAAAGCTTGATGTTAGGTCACAATCCTTGTCTATTTCTCTTCTCAGCAGCTAGTGAAGACTAGACATATTAATACATACAAAACTCCAAGTAGTGACTGTAGCTAATACAACCATTCTTGGGTCATTTGCTATATAGGAGTAGGTAGCAAGTCAGATCTGGGCTGTGGGGGAAGATCAGAAGTACTATCACAGAGGGTTTGACCTTGCATGAGGTCCTTTTAACCTGATTTTTACTTTACCTGTACAGCAAAGGAAAACGTATATATCAGATAAAATTCTCTAATATCATTGCTAGCTGTGGACTATGCTGCGTGTTCAAGAAATAGTTGTGGAATGAATGAGTCTTAAAGCCAAATGGATGGGTCTTTGAGCTGTTGGGCATCACGTGAGATAATCTGAAAAATAAAAAGTGGTTTATGGTGTAGAACCCTTAACCTACATTCCAGTGGGAGAGACAAAGAGTGGACTGTAACTTTCAGCCATAGGGTTAAGTGGCAGAATGTGGTTGAATTTAAGAGCCCAGTGAGGAACAGCGAAAAGGAGTGGAGATAGTAAACAAGAAAACCCTGGACTGATGTTGTTGCATTTTTCTCTTTGTACTAGGAGGAGCCACTGGATGAAAGCTCCGTGAAGAAAATGATCCTTACGTTTGAAAAGAGATCATACAAAAACCAAGAGTTGCGGATTAAGTTTCCAGACAATCCCGAGAAGTAAGGCACTGTTTTTTGCTGACGGTATACATCTTTTCCCCCTGAGTTGGTCGTGGTGGTTTTATTTGTGAATTTGCTTTGCTTTGGCTTCTGTGATTTAGGTCGGGTAAGACTCAAGGCTGTGGTTATTACAACTAAAGTTACACGATAGGTCAGCAAGGGAAAAGATGTACCAGACAAAATAGGAAAAAATTCACAGTTAGGCTTCTTGGGTTTCATTCTGTACTTGAGTGGTGAGACACATGAGCACGCGTGCAGTGTTCTTGCCAGGGAAACACATTTTAGATGCAGAGCCCAGAGTTTTTATTATGGGTTGATCATGTCACCATTCTCTGCCAAAGTACATCTCCCCAAATTGCAGAACCCCATAAAGAAAGCAGGTGGTCAGGGCCCTGTAGACAAAGTAACCTCCTCAAATGGGAACATTTCAAAAGCAGAATTCCCAGGAGCCAGCCGAGGCCCACTCCAGATAGCAGGCCTTTCTAAAGAACAGGCCAGCTATGTTAATTCTTTCCTGCGCATTCTTCTCAAAGAGTAGAGAGAGGAAGACACAGTGAAGACAAGCTGGGGGCTGTTGAAGGAGGCTAATAAGTGGTATTTAGTTGGTCATTTTGAGGAGTGATTTTTTTTTCTCTAATGGGCAGAAAGGGACACAGACACACCATGAGTGTGTGCCACACAGGCACAGAAGCTCGGTGAGAACAGTTCAGCCCAGTGTATCTACCTGCATGTGCTGTAGATGAAGAGCCAGTGGAAACTGGGCAGTTCACCTGGGTCACTTCCCTTTCACAGTACAGGGAAGTAAATCACAGTCCATCTCGCGCAACATCCTATCAGGTTTTGTACTGACTGCTGGCACTTGTCATACTGTTCTTTGTGGTATGTGTATGTGTATATTGAGTTACACAGATAATACATAAATAGATTACCATTGTAAAAAATAGCAGCAATTCATAATTCAGAGTACTGATTCCTTTTCCATTCCTACTATGTGGATCATTTTAACTTGTTTTCTATGCACTCATTTACATACTGTTTTCTATATGTTTGTTTACATATGTATGTATGCTAATTTGTTTTTCTATATATATATCATGCTGTATGCATTTTGCATCTTGATGTCTTTGACTATAGAACATGTAGCTATCAGAGATAATATATGCATATTTACCTCAATCTTTTTGGCTGGTGCATAGTATTTCATAATTTGGAAATACTATGATTTATTGAACTTTATTTTTATTGATGGGAATTTGGTTATTTTAAATGTTGAGTTTTATAATACAGTGCTTTAGTGAACTATCCTATACATTTATTTCTATAGTATAGATAGTCAGATGTCAAATTCCTAGATGGAGGGGTATGTGCATTTTAAACTTTGATAGCTACTGCCAAATTTCTCACTGTATCCTTTTGTACCCACCAGCAGCTGGCTTTCTATCCACAGTGGATGTAATTGGTGTTTACCACTTTTGTGTGTGTGTGTGTGTGTGTGTGTGTATTTTTTTTTAAAAACCACTGGACTCTGTTCCTTGAGGAGATGAACTGTGTCTTATTTGTCCCTGAACCTACTTTACTGTAGGTGCATAGTAAATTTGAGAGAGCATAGTTAAGTCATCTTTATTGCATCCAGCCCTCAGACCCTATGGATGTGTTACATATGAAGAAGTTATGCAATTGGTTGTTAACACTGGAAATTTTAGAAATCTAATTTATAGTATTACCTTTTGTTCACTTAGTAGGAGCTATGTCTATCAATTTCTGCAGATTATTTTCCCCTCTACATCTTATGAATCACCAATACTCCAGTGGTAGTGCTGGTTTTAATAAAACTGATACCTTTATTTTTTTAAATATGTGTACTATTTTAAGGTTTGAACATTTCAAAATTGAAATTATACATAACAAACCTAATTCTTTTTCCTTTTTTTGTGTCAGTGGGCACTTTTTTAAACAACGAACTTTTGAATTTTCACTGGTGCAGTGTCTTTCACAAATCTCTAGACCAGTGAGGTGCAATTAAGATGAAAATTGCCAGAGTATATTTAAATGAAACGTTCTGGTTGAGATCAGAAACACTAGAGTTTATTTTCCCATATATGCCATTGTATTTTGATCACATACCCAGAATGCCTTTCTTCATTTGACTGTGTTTCAGATTCAACTGACAAGTCTCCTTGTGTAGCGTCTATTTTACTCTGTGTGATCTTTTCTCAAAGCATCTTGTTGAATAAAATGTATTGTTTCCCTAGTAAATCCTTCAGTAATAGTTCTTTTCTGCAGAGATGGAATTATTTAGTGTCTTAGTTACCTAGTGTTGCTATTTCACTAGAAATAACACAAGTGAATGGCTTTAACAAACAGAAATTTATTCACTCACAGTTTAGGAGGCTAGAAGTCCAAATTTAGGGCATTAGCTCTCAGAAAAGGCTTTATCTCTGTCAAGTCTAAAGGAAAGTCCTTGTATATCCTTTAAGCTTCTGTGGGCCAGATATTTCTTAGAAATAATCCATCCATCTTCCTCTGGGTTTAGGAGGTTCTTTTCACAGGGACTCTGGGTCTTTGACTTCTTTCTTGGTGGTGCTGAGGTTCCCCTTGATATCTGCTTGTTTGTTTTATCTTTCATATCTGGAAGGAAATTGACCAGCATACAAGCCAACATTGTAGATTATAGCCTTAATATCATAATTGCCTCTAATTCTGCCTCTTGATAGCAATTAGAATCATTACATCAGGTCACAAAATGGAGGATAATTGTGTAATATTGAGAGTGATGGTGCAGCTAAGTTGACATACATTTTAGAGGTGCACAGTTGAGTCTATATCGTTTAGTGGTTCGCAAGCTTTTCGGTCTCAGGACTACTTTGTACTCTTTAAATTGTATACCAAACATGCTTATCTTAGATAATTCTAGAAAACACAAGAATATTCAGGCTCATAATTCATTAGCCATCAAGACAATGATAGTATCCATGGCTTCAAAGTGGTTCATTATGAGCCAGCTCCCTGCTGAGACTGCATTTCCACCCCAAATATATGAATGTGAATAAACAGTTTAACAAGATCGCTAGATGATTCTTATGTATACAGTTGACCCTTGAACAACATGAGTCTGAACTGCAGGGTCCACTTATATGTAGAATTTTTTTTTAATACAATGTGATGCCAATCATCTCTGCGTGAGCATTTCGTTTCTCCAGTAAGCCACATGTTACAATAATGCCTGCCTATTTTTCATCATGTTTATTACAGTGCCCTAACATTTGAAGAACACTCTGGAACCCATAAGAAGTGCCACTAGTGATTCTGAAAGTGTTTTCAGAAAGCAGAGAAAAGTCATTACATTGTAAGAAAAAAGTGGCATTGGCTCATATTTCCTGTAGGTGAAGGTCTGCAGCAGCAGTTGCCTATGATTTTGAGATAAATCAGCTCAGTATAAGGACCTTGGTGAACCAAGAAAATGAAGTTCTGGAAAGTATCACTCTTCTAGCAGCTGTGATAACCTTCTTTGCTTATTACCTCGTTATCATGTGTTGGATGGACTTTTATATGGGCACAATCTATTGCACATAGTATATATGTGTTAATCGGTCAGTATTGTCATGGGTAACACTTTTGGTCAACAGTAAGATATTTATTGGTCATTAAATTTGGGGAGAGTCAAGTTACAGGGAGATTTTCATGCAGAGCCATGACCACCCCTAATGCCTGAACTATTCATAGGTCAACTATACGTTAGAAATGTGTACATAAGACCTGGGATTCTGTATGAATCACTGGCATCTTGTTAAAATACAGATTCTGGTTCAGTGTGTCTGGCCTGCAAATGCAAATTATCATCAAGGGGTCAGTCCAGAGGGAACGGCTTATCACATGTGGTGTACCTACCTGGAAAACTCCACTGACTATTCTTGAGAGAGCAAGAGTAGAAAAAGCAAATGATGCCTTGTTTGTGTGATAAAAATAGCTCTGCTCTTGCAGACCTCCAAAAAGGTTTTGAACCACACTTTGAGAACTGCTGATTTAGTTGTGTAAAGGACAGTCCTGATTTCCTCCTGGTCAGTCCAGAGCCTGAACAGTGATTCCTAGCTTGGTGGTTACAGTTAGAATTCATTGGTTTCTGTTACTTTTCTGCTGTTGTGGAACTTTGCTGGTCACTTGCTAATTCCCTCTGTGGTTAAAGAGCATCCTGCTGGTTTGAAGCAAATGTACATGGGCAGGTTAGCAGAATATTCTCCGTCATACCAGAGGGGATCGATGACCCCATAGCGCTGTGGGTTATGGTTTTAATACGTTGCTCTACTGCTTTCGCCTTACTCTCTAACTTGATCCCTTCCCCCAGCGGTGACTCATCTGAGAGTGTGTCTAATGCCTGAAGGTAGCTATGTGCTTACTTTTAAAAAATATTTTATGTTGATTTGCTTACAAAGTTCATATACATTGTGTTTCACATTCTTCATTCACGTTGTGTTTCATAGCATCATTCCCATTCGTTACGTTTTATAAAATTAATCACCATTGAACTGTGCCCACCATTATCCTAACTTTCCAGATCCCTGCTGGATCTTTCCCATTTCCTTTACACCCACTCCTTCCACCCACCAAACTCTGTGACCCTGTGATTTCTCCCCTATAAGCCCTCACGCCTCTGCTCACCCCTCTCCCTCCATGGGCCCTCATACATGTTTTACTAGTCATCTTTATATTTCTGCAATAATGGCCTTAATGCAAAATTTGTCCTTATGAGACACTCAGTTCACTCAGCATAATGCTTTCCAGTTTCTCCCAAGTTATGTAGTAAATTTTTTAAATCATTGCTCCTGAGTGCTGCGTAGTATTCCATTGTGTAAATGATTAAAAAGATAAAGAATCATGGGGAGAAAGAGGGAAGAATGCTGTTACAGTGTGGGAATAGTAATTAATGTCCTAAACCAAAGTATATACAAATGGTTGAATGGAAAATTAATTTTCTTTGTAAACTTTCACTCAGAGTACAATTG